AAACAACTCTTAATTAGTTCTTCTTTTTCTTCTTCCTCTTTTTTTTTTTTTTTAATATGCAGCACCAGGGAAAAATTGGAGTTAAATTTAATGTTGGAACTGATGACATCTCTATTGAAGAGATCAACGCAATCATTAATGATGGAAAATACCATGTAGTACGTTTCACAAGAAGCGGTGGCAATGCCACATTACAGGTGGACAACTGGCCAGTTATCGAACGTTACCCAGCAGGTAAGGGCTTACACAAACGCTTGTGAGTAAGAGGGTGGGGTATGTGTGGAGTTTGGCTCATTTTGCCTCTCTTCTGATACAAGTCCTTCGCAGTGTTTTAGTAGCTAATTAAGTAGTTAAAGAGTCCTGAGCAATACGTAGTTTATGATGCTGGCAATTCCTAAGTGAGTTTAAAAGCACAGATTCAAGTTAGTACTGAAAGTGGAAAAATACAGTTACCAAGGCATGGAATAGTGGTTTTGTTTCTTGTTTTCATTTGTTTTTATTGGATTACATTTAGGGGGAAAAAAAAGGCTTTGACAAAAGCTACACAGTAAAGTGACTTCCAAATTGATCTCCAAGTGATGGGGTAAAACATTTACTCAGGAAAAGGTTGTCTGTGTTCTTCTAGTTACAAGTTGTTATTAAAGCAGTCTGAAGCTTATGAATTTAGCAGAAGTATTCCAGCAAGCATAAACAAAAAGGTATATCGGTTATCAGTTATACAACCAACCAAGCAAATTAAGATGCCTTAACTTAAAATGAAAACTATAATTTATTGCTTATGCAAGTGATGCTGGACTTGAACAGGACTGCTCGTGTGAATACAGAGTTGCCTTGATTGGGCCCATATTTAATTTTATGCAAATGCCATACACTAAAGATTACTGTGTACTAATTTTATTCATTTTTAAAGGCAACAGGTTTTTTCAGATACGCAATCCCTTTCTTATTGAATAGGACTACTGAGCCGTTAATGGTAATTTACAAATCTGCATGTTATCTGTTAACAGTTGGTGTGTGTCTTTACATTATTAAAGAAAAGCCAGCAAATCCAGAGATGTAAGTGAAAGGTATTCTGGTTTGCCTATTTGCTGTTACATAAATGACAGTTCTGATTTATATATTTAAAAGTCAAAAATTCTTCATTTTGGGGGTGGAGTGGGGCAGGAGGGTACGTTTCACTAATAAAGAATGTATAAGTCATGCCCTGTACTAATTGTTAGTATTTAGGGGTTTGTGGGCAGGTTTTTTTGTTGATACTTATGTTGTAGTCCAGCTATTCACCTGACTTTTTAAAAAATAAAAATAATTTTTAAAAAATCCACAGGTGAAATATAACCCTTCAGATAATTTCTTGGAAATAGCGTAGAATTTAAAATAAAAATGAAAGTATGCATCACAAATGAAATTATGCATAGCAGGAGCTGTTAAAAAAACACCTGTGTGCTAATTTGTTACGAATGAGTGACAGTTCTGGTGGTTAGAAACAATTAATGGCTTTAAGTTACACACATCTCTAAGAGGTGATAAACTCTTGAGGGATAGGGCGGTACTGAATGAAATATGTTCTGTGATCTTTCAGATATTGTGGAAGCTGGGGAGGAGCGCGTCTTAGTTTGTGTTCAAGACCTATGTAGAAGAAAGGCAAAAATAGGTTTGGGGTGTGGTGTGGGGTTTTTTTTTCCTTTAGTTTTTTACCTAAATGATGAGCACAAAAATATTTTTCTTTTTCTTCATGAAAATACCAAGTGGCTACAACAAGGACAAACTGCAGTTGAGTTCTGAAGATAGTGGCACACAGAATTTCTTTTTATTGAATATAGATCAATTTAGAAAATAGAGTGATTTTCTTGGGGTGAGATTAATGGAGTGGATGTTTTCTTTGAAAAAAAGGAAAACAGAAATTTAAAGCTTCTTGAGCTTTCTTTAGCAATCTATGCACAAGCTGCATTTCAAGGCTTTTCAGTTGCTTCACCAGCTAGGGTACAGAATCTCTTGACTTGCTTTATTGCTGGATCTTCCAAGACTGCTGTTGGCCTTTCCCATAGTAATACTTTATGGCTCCTGTGTATCATAGAGTCACTTTTGAAATCCATCCTCCCCCTTTTCACCTTCTGTCTCCTCTCCCCTCCTCCCACCACAAGAGCACCTAGCTATACCTTTTTTTTATGTTTCCATGCTGCTCCATCAGGTTTGGCACTCTTCATTTAAACCCTTTTTAAACACTTTAAAGACTGGTATTGATGTACCTTTTAGAAAAGATGCAGACTTGTCCTGAAGACCGTGCTGCCTTTGAGTAAGGTTGATACTTCTCTGAAGATATTAATGGTACCATATTAAAAGCTAGCACTGTCACTCCAGTTCTAAGAGTAGTATTTCTAAAAGTGACATCTTAAAGATATCAGACAGCACAGTTTGGCAAATGCTGCTGCATCCAATTTAGATGTGCTGCTGCTGTTGCTGTTTTAAGGACTGATAGTAGCACCTGGCAGTACTGGTTAACCAGCTAACTTGCTCTTATCTCATGTTTTGGGTAGAGAACATGTTGCACTTGTACAATATGGACCAAATTCAATCTTGTTTGCATGAATGAAGGCTCATTAGTTTTCATTTCAATGCTACAAAGAAGACTTTGTTACTTTGTGACTGTTTTCTGAATTGTTTCTTTCTGCATGATTTCTTAATGTGCCCGCACCACTGTACGTAAGAACATACTTAGCTCTCCTACTTCTGGGGGTTTTAAAATTAAGAATAGAGACAAGATTAGCAGCTTAATTGGTGTGTTTACTATTCTTAAATATGCTAGATTTCCTTTTTTTGAAAATAAAATAATATTTTAAAAAATTCAGTTAGTTGCTTAAAGCATACCAACTGGTCATTTCTCAGGGAGGAAAGATTATACCATGAATTACACTTCTGGTTGGTGTGTCTGACTACAAGACATAGCTTATTTGTGATCAGCATCTTAAAATATTGTCTGAGAGGAGCTTCTGGTCAGAGGCTCAAGATTTTCCAGTTTCATTGCCTGTGTAGCCTTCATGCAGCCCCACCTAACTGCTGCAGATAATGGCACCCAAGGTTCATAACAGTGTCGCATTATGTGCTAGGATGATGCTGTGGGCATCCCTTTTGGTCCTCAAAGTGAGCGTCTTTTGAAAAAAGAGATGTAGCCCTGATTGTCGCAAGTCTGTGTGGGATTTGTAGCGAGTCTGAATTCAGCCCTGGGTCTCAGGAGCTGCCGAGACTTCAGTGCTTTCACAAAGGGTTTTCTAGCTGGTTTGGCACATGTGATTCTCTAATACTGCTTTATGAGTAGTCAGAGGTAGACACCTTGTAAAAAGTGTCATATGGCCAATGCTCCATAGACTCCTGCTATTGCTTCATGAGTTTTATCCTAGAGCTGTGTAAAATGCAGATAAGACCCTAGGATTTAGCATGTTTCTTTTGTACATCATTCTCAGTCCCTCTAGACTCAAGCGTTATGTTTTCTTAGGAATCTTGCCTGGGCCAATGCACCTTCAGTTCTTATCAGAGTAGACACGAAAAGAGGTAGGGATGGCCAGTGGTAGAGGATGGTTATCCTTGTAAAGATGGCTGGCCGTATCTTTTTGGTGTGTAGTGGGGAGAAATGTATTTTAGTCCTAGACATATGTGAAGAACTTCAGTGTTCTGAAATGGATGGATGATGTTCAGGAACAGAGGTTTAGATTTAGGTACATATGTTCTCCCAGACTCCTATTAAAGTCAGTTTCTCATTGTGTCAGTGGCTGATAGGTAGCCCTGTGATTGAGAATGGCACATTGTCGATTTTTTGATAGCTACGATGCCCAGATCTGTATTGGATTTTATATTCCATCTCTCTTAACTAAATTCGATGTTATGTCTCTTTACCTAGTGATTATCATCCTTCTGCACCTTCCCAAAGAACTTTAGTATTTCACCTTGGCCACTTTTTCAGATAGTGGTTTCCCATTAACTTATCTGGATCCAGCCTAATTTCCAATCGTATTAAACAGGAATGAGAAAACTGCTGACTTTCAGTCCAGAGTTCCTAATCAATAGGAACCATTTTCCATGCAGATCCTTTCTACTCCTTTCGGCTTATCTTGTCTGCTTGACAACTTAGTTCTAATTCCCCTCTCTGACTGCCTGTCTGCTGTTGTGACAGTGGGACTGCACTATAGTAGCAACTCTAGCTACTACTGGGAACAGGCTGCTCTTGTACCTTCAGTTAGGTAATAATTATACACTGAAATGTAGATTTGCTAAGAATGCATTTATGGTAGGAAAGCAAAGGACGTGTTAATTTGGGTCAAACTGAACTAACAATTAAGGCCAAAGGAAAAACAAAATAATAGGAAATTTATTTTTGTAATGGCAAAATATTAATTTCAGTATTTTCTAAATAAAATGTTCTGACTTTTCATCTCAAGATTTCCCACTGTTTATGGGAGATTTAGGTAATCTGAGAACAAAGCATTTCATTTAATTTGAAACAACCTTTTCTTCCTTACCTGAAAGAAAATCTGTTTCAAATAAAATCAAATGGAAAAAGAATAATCTTTGTCACAGCAGTCCTCTTAACCATATCTATTTAACAAGAAAAATAATTTTCTTGATTTTCTAATTTTCCTTCCATAGTAGTGAGGGGTGTGCATTTTACCAGTCTGGGAAAGTATATCAGAACAAGCTAGGTGACTTTCTAAAGCCACAATAATCACCATTTATTGTGAAGAATTTTCAGAATCACTTTTCCGTGAATAACTCTACAGTTTCTGCGGTCAAAGGGAGTTCGCCTGATGATGATTCTTGTAACAAAACATGGTGCAACCAATCATTTTACCAGCAGGAACCTACTTTTCAGGACTTCCATCATAAATCAGACTGATGCAGAATTTTCTGAATATAAGACAATCTGTTACATATTGGCCAACTGGTCTATCATTTCAAAGCTGTTCAGACCACTGGGAATACTCAGCAGTTCCTGGGACCCTGCAGCAGTCTGGAAGATACAGTCCGATGTAGGCAAATATCTGGAATGAAGCCTTCCCTGTCATCCCTGGATCTTTGGTCAGCCTTAGACAAGTATAACTTAATGGCAGCTGTCCTCATGTACCCCATGGGTCAGCAGACATTGTCAGGGCTGTGTCTGACAGACCTAGATCTGACAGCACAAGCATCTTGCATACGTTGTTCACGCGAAAGAGATTGTCCAAAACATTCCCAGACTACTGGAA